ATTTCTTACATTCATATTTATCACAGAGTTAATATTTTGTTGGTATTTTGGAGGAATCATAAAACAAGGTAATTTTAAAACATTAGATGTTTTTTAAGTATACCTTAAAAGTTAGAGATATATTCTAGGAACTTGGACCTCACTGCCCTTGAAATATACCACAAAGATGCATTACAAAAGGTGAGGGATAACATGGGGAGAAATGCCAGATGTAGGTGACGGGGGGATGGAAGCAGCAAACCACATTGCCATGTGTGTACCTATACAACAATCCTGAATGATCTGCACATGTACACCAAAACCTAAAGCACAATTTAAAAATAAAGAAACAATACATTTTTACACAGTGGCCTGAAAAAAAGGTTGGAAATGCAGGAAATAAATGATAAATATTCATTATTTTGCTATCTTAAGCAATGAAAGTTTGATAAGAAAAACTGAAAGATTTTCTGAAATTAGAATAATATTTCAATATGTTAGATGAATATCACTATCCAGAATGTGTCTGAGCAGGCATAAAAATATTTTATTGGCCATAGAAAATTTAATGAAATTCACATGCTTAAAAACTAGCAATTTGTAAGCAGGTCATCATGGAAGAGGATATTGGGGATAACCAAAATCTTCCCATAATACTCTGGCATTCTGAGCACCTTTTAAATCACATGCTTTTTCCTCTCCTCTTTCTTTGCTATCTGTATTAATCCATTTTCACACACTTTTAGAAAGAACTACCTGAGACTGGGTAATTTATAAATAAAAGAGGTTTAGTTGATGCACAGTTCCTCATGGCCAGGAAGACCTCAGGAAACTTACAATCATGGCAGAAGGTGAAAGGAAACAAGGTGGCAGGAGAGAGAAAATGAGGAGGGAACTGCCAACCACTTTTAAACCATCAACCATCAGATCTCCTGAGAACTCACTCACTATCATGAGACCAGCATGGCGGAAACCACCCCCATGATTCAATCACCTCCAACCAGGTTCCTCCCTCAACACCTGGGGATTACAACTCAAAATGTGATTTGGGTGGGGTCACAGAGCCAAACCATATCACTCTCTTAATTAAGAGCAGTACATGTTAATTAAACACTATGAGAAATTTTTAAACTTCTTGGTGCAATTTGTGCCATTACTCACTCTATGCCCATGTATTTTGTGGGTCTGCCCATACATTACATTCTTCTGACATCTCTATTACCATTATTGTTCTACTTATAAATTCTCAGCAGACACTAATATAATCATGAGAGTTGGGCTTATTCCCCCAATCAGTCCTTTTCCATCCTCTTATTTATCCCACCCAATTTAAGTCCCACAGTTTGATCTTTAAACTAGGACTCAGCACAGAATGTTGAACCAGTAAAATACTCCTTTAAGGAAATAAGTCTGGAGATACATTTCCCTACCTGTATCCTGACTATGAATTTGGAAATCAGAGAGATAAAAAGGGACTGAAACAGGAAGTAGACAGTGGTGATGGTTATATAACATTATAAATATATTTAATACCTCTGAACTATACACTTAAAATATTTAATATAGTAAATTTTATGTTATATATATATATCACCACAATAAAAATAAATTGAAAAAATTATGGCAGGGACATTGGATTTGTATTCAATCAGAATTTAATACAAATTCTTGGCTCTATCCATTTCTGATTTATATAGCAAATTACTTAACTTCACTGGGCACAATATTTCTCAACTATAAAATAGAGATAATAATTGTATCTACCCCACATGGTTCTTGTGGGAATTAAATTATAAAATGCAAGTTATGAAACTCGTTCATAGTAAATATCAAATAAATGTTAGTTATTAATCCAAACTTAAATCCATATTATTGATCATTAATTGTTGCCTATGTTTGGTGAGTTTTGGGATTTTGAAAGCTTTTTTTCTTAATCTGAGGACAAGGTTTCTCTAGCATGCAAATGTTATACAGTTGTAAAGGTGGTCTTTCTAAACCAGAATCATTACCACATTCAAAGCTCTTTAGTGGTTTTCTGTTTCCATCCTTTCTAACCTCATTTCCCAGCTCCCAGTGTTACATGTATGCTAGGCTCCAACAAAGCCAGACTGGGACTAAGATCAACAAGCAATATCCTGAAAAAGCCTCATCTTTCTCCCCTCCCCATTTTGAGGCAGTGTCGTCCCTGATCAGACTGCCTCCTTGGCCCTCTTTCTTTTCTACTTGAACAAGTCTTATTCATCCCCCAAGCTTCAGCTCAATGACCCTACCTTAGAAAGCCTTCCAGGACCTCTGCAAATGTCAGTGTTCCTGTAGCATTCAATTCACAGGGCTCTTACAGGGTCAGTCTAGTTGTATTTCTTTAAGTGTCTGCATGTACACTGGGCTGTGGTCCACTGGTAGACAAAAAGCTATTGATTTCTTTGTTTCCATACTACCTGACATATATTTGGCATTCAACAAATGAAAAATGAAAGAGTGAAAGGATTGGATTCTATTGGGAACATGAACAAATAAACCTGTAAGTGATAACCACAACCACACATAGAAGATATTGCCCAACAAATTTTCCACTTTTGAACTGACATAGATTAAGACACATTCTCCAAAAAACCTCCATTCAAAGGTAAATGCCTTACATTGGAGGAAAAATATACTAAACTATTACTATATTTAAATGAATTTGTTTAACCAACCAGCGAGTCTTAGAATAGGATTCTAAGGGTTTGAAACAAAACTTTTTATGGGACATATGTTGCCACAGAAGAATCCAAAGCAGACACTGGTGCTGAGGGAGAGAAAGAAGAAACGCAGGTGGACAATTATAATGGGTGGCTCTAGATAGGTTCTATCTGATTGGATGTAAAATTAGAAATGACAAGAGGGGAAATCTGAGAAAAAACTGTTCAGTCAACAATTTGTCATGGAACAGACCTGCACCTACAACAGCACACAGCCTCCTCTGGAAAGACAAACTAATTTTAACTCTAGTAACATCAAATTTTATTAAGAAAGTAAATGCACTAAAGATAAAAATCATTTGGAAGATTAAATATAAATGATGCTTTGGATTTTCCATGCTATTGCCTCCCATATGTAGTGTGAATAGCTCAGAGCTAGTACAGAACCTATCACACAAAATAAAAAGCTGAGATTCTCAGCAAACTGACACAAGAACAGAAAATCAAACACCACACGTTCTCACTCATAGGCGGGTGTTGAACAATGAGAACACATGGACCCAGGGAGGGGAGCATCACACACTGGGGTCTGTTGGGGGGAAATAGGGGAGGGACAGCGGGGAGTGGGGAGTTGGGGAGAGATAGCATGGGGAGAAATGCCAGATATAGGTGAAGGGGAGGAAAGCAGCAAATCACACTGCATGTGTGTACCTATGCAACAATCTAGCATGTTCTTCACATGTACCCCAAAACCTAAAATGCAATTAAAACAAAAAAAGAAAGAAAAACTAAGAAACCAGCCAAGTCCTGAGAGAACCGCAGCTAAGTAATGTGTCAAGCACTCTTTCACTGCTCTTACTGAAAACACATACAAAAAAAGGTTAGTCCCATATGTAAAAAGAGAATTCTTACAGAAAGAAAACTGCATGAAAAGTGGACTATTTTACATTAAACCAGTGTTATTCATCTTCATTGCTCACAGTAAGAGCTGGGTTAGGACAAAGGAACTGAGACGAATAAGACCCAGTGACCTCACAGGCAGAGATATATTGGCACTGCTACCCCGCAGCACTCAGGGAGGGAGGCTGGGAAGTTAACTCTGACACCAGTGCAAAAAGGGAGTCACTGAGAGGAGCAGACCCAGACAAGCAGTAAGGAATTACACTGCTCCCACAACCATACGTGAGGGAAATCGCTTTACAAAAGAGTGCAGACATATTTCTCAGAGCATGGGTTTCTTTTCCATCATTGTTTTGATATAACTTTATGTAAGTAAAATGCCTGACTCTCAGCTTTAAAATATTCCTCCAAAGAATGTTTATGAAAAATGTAACAGTTTTGATGCTGTGGTAGATTGTATAACCTCACAAAAAGGTACGGCCCTTCCTGTAGGGAATTAAACATTCTCACCCTGTTAAATGAATGGGCAGCATGAGACATGCTTTGGGCAATGAAACATGGGAAGGAAAAGGTATTCAAGCCGAACCTTTAGGAGCAATGCATGCTTTGGCATTCTGTCTCTCCTGTTCCCTCAACAATTGCCAATTTTCAAGTGAAAAGTTTCTCCATTAGCCTAAGTCCTGGGGTGAAGGTGACACAGAACAGAGCTGTGGCCAACTAATAATGACATGCAGCATGAATAAGAGATACGTTTTTGGTTTTTCTTTAAGATGCTGAGACTTGGAGGATTGAGATTACTGCATAACCCAGCTCATCCTGTCTAGTAGAGCCATTTCTCAGACTGCAATGTGGCAGGTCAAAGGGAAGACTGCTTGGTTTATAAGTTTGTAATACTCTACTGCCATATGGGTGACAGTACTATCAGGCAATGGAATCATTAAGAATGGAGAGATGTGTACTTTGTCCTGAAATAGCTAGAATTCCTAAAACTAAAGCTGATACCTATTTAAATTCTCAAAATAAAAACAAGTTGTATACTGAAAGATAATTTTAGGTCAGAATGCCTCTCACCAAGGAACCTGTTATAAATGGAAATTAAAATCCTATGCTAGTCCTTTATTACTTAGTTTCTAAAAGTTAATATTATTTCAGTTGCTTTATGTATTAAAAATATAAGTCTAAGTCTTAGTCTCCATAATCATGTGAGCCAATTCCTTACATCTCTTTATTATATAAAGAGATTACTATATAATAAATAAAGATTATTTATAATAATTTCTTTATAATAGATTATATAATATATAAGAAATTATTATATAATAATTACACAAGGTTTATATCATGTTTAACCAAATAATTATGATATATTATTATGTAATAATTTTTTTTATTATAAAGATCTCTTTATTACAATAAAGAGATGTATTGTAAGGAATTAGGAACATGATTATAGAAGCTAAGTCTAAGGCCCACAATCAGCAAGCTGGAAACGTAGGAATACTGATGGTATAAGTTCCAGTCTAAGTCTGAGTTCAAGTTTGAAGACAGGAGATCTATGTTCCAGCTCAAACACAGTCAGGCAAAGAAAAAGAATTCTTTCTTACTCAGCCTTTTACTCTATTCAGGCCTTCAATAGATTGGCTCAGGCCACTCACATTGGAGAGGGCTATCTGTTTTACTCAGTCTACGAATTCAAATGTTAATCTCACTCAGAAAAGTGCTCACTACAACCCAAAAATCATGTTTAACCAAATATCTGGGCACCCCATGGCTCAGCCAAGTCAACATATAAAATGAACCTTCACGACTTGTAACATTGTTTCTTGAGATCAACTAGAAATTACAGCTTAAAGGCCAGAACACCCACGCGTACCTCCCAAATGTCACCAGGCCAGTAACAGGAAACATGTTTTTGTTTGTTTGTTTATAGGTCTTATTTTATATTGTTATAGGTATTTATACTGTTTATGTATTTCATTTTATATTCTATTCTGTCTGCCCTGGAACAAGAGCAGAGACTCCTTGTGTACAAATCATCACCTGCTCATGGGACTATCAACAGTTTTGGTTTCATGGATTCTAATAGTGTCAGCAAGCAGTGACAATTTAATTGGAAAAGTAAAGAGGAATAGAAAGTATCTCTGATAACACTGCATTAGTTATCTATTTCTATATAACAAATTACCCCAAAACTTAACAGCATACAATGATAAACATGTATTATCTCACACAGTTTCCTGAGTCAATAATCCATTTTATCTGGGTGGTTTTTTGCTCAGAATCTTTCATGAAGTTGCAGTCAACTTGTCAGCCCAGGTTACTATCATGTGAAGGATTGACTGGGCTGGCGGATCCACTTTCAAGGGAATTCACTCACATGCCTGACAAATTAGTGCTGGTCATTTGATCCTTTTTTTTTTTTTTGGTCACATGGTTCTCTTCACAGGGATCCTTGAGTGTCCTCACTCAAGCTGGCTTGAGTAGCTGGCTTTCCTCACAAGTAATACAAGATCAAGCCATGATTTTTATGACTTTGCCTCTAAACTCACATACTGTCATTCCCACATTGTCTTGTTAATTACACAGCTCAGAGCCGTTTAGTATGGACTAGATGACACCAAATGTGAATATCAGGATGCAGAGATTCTTAGAAGTCATCTTGAAGGGTAGCTACCATATTTATATTTTCCCCACAACTTATGGAATATCCTAGTCACTGGCTTTCATCGTTTATTAAATTCAAGTGTATAAGCTTTAGCTCATATAAAATTCTGACCAACATAATTCCATATTTTACAGATGTGAAGAGACATCTGCAAAATCAAATAGAGAGATCATATTTTAAAATTCAGTAACATTTAAAAGACAGGTAATAGAATAATTACTATAATTTATCTAATATATTTAGCTTTGTCATTTTCCCTGTGGTATGAATCACTTAGTACCAAAAATAAATATCCAAAAGGTATTATCATCATGTAAATCTTCTCTTCTTAATTTCAATATATTGTTCTTATTTGTATCTAGTAGGATCATACAGGTAAGGCTTAAGAGTAACACAAGGGCAGTGTAAAAAAAAGTCTATTAGTTTAATGCCAACAAAACAGATGTTATTACATTGAAAATGTGATCCTAGAAAAATTTTAAGAATAAGCTCTTGTTCAAAAGTCTAAAGAAAACTTTCAAATATTTAATTCCAAGTGCTAAGGTTTATTTGCAGATTTTCACATTGTCTTTTATATTAATTGTTTCAAGTCTTGACAAACCTAATTGAGAAGTATTTGCTAACATCCTTCACACCATTCTTTCAGTCAACAAGTACTACCAACCATGTCAAGTAAGATATAGTCTCTACATTCAGGATTGTACAGTCTAATAGACGGAGACAGATATATAAGTAAATATGCTTCAAATGCATCCCAAGCATGATCAAAAGTTTGAGTGTCACACTAGCATTAATATATAAATCTTGCTAGTTCCAAGTCCCACTTGTTCACAAAGAAAATCTAGTTCCTTCAGAATCCCTTCCTCCATCCTCACCAGCAACAAAACTTGCTGTTGAAACCTGGGAGTTTGCTTCATGTGCTAATGAGTATGTGGAGGTTCTTCCTGTCACAGGACTCTGCTACTCTTAGCTATTTCATCTGGGTTGTCCTTAAGTGCTACAAATTCTGATCTGCCACTTCCTCTAGCCTTCCCTCTTCTGAGTTTCACCCACCACCCCATGTTCACTCGGAGCTCTCACTCCTCACAGATCTCTGTGCCTAAGGCATAGATCCATCTCAATTTACCCCAGTCCCCATGGTATCCAACCTTTTGGCAATTTCATGTAAAGCGGGGGGTAGTTTGCAACTTGTGTTACTCTGTATTATTCTTAATAAAAGACTCCATTTCCAAGTCCCTCTAGTCCAAAGCACCACAGGCCTCTTCTCAGGACCTTGCTATGTCACGCCTCAGTCTGTGCTACCTCAGCCCACCTTTTGAACCTTTCCACCACTCCCTCTATACCAGCCCCTTTCATTCGCATATAGGCAGCCAAAGCCTCTTCAGTGTTTCCTGCACCTGACACTGTATGGGAGAAGCATAGTCTATATTTCTTGAGAAAGATATCTACACTCAGTATGCCTAGCTCCTCCTTTTACCCTCAGTTACCCTCCCATTCTATTCTGGTACTTGCATCTGCAATTCCATGAAACTATCTAAGGTTAAGTTTATCAATAGACTCCTTGTTGTTAAATCCAATGGAAACATACTTCTCATTGTCCAGTGATTCTGCGTCCAGCGCTTTCTCACCCACTCAATGCCCTGGGCCTCTGTTCCAAACCAAGTCTTCCAATGACCTATTGTGATATGGAGATATGGCCATGCAGTCAGGAAAGCTGTGGGGGACTTGGTTTAGTTGCTTGCTGCAAAGCAGGAATTTTGATCATTTTCTCATAAGGCATCCTGCTTGTATCATAAGCCATAGATTCAAGCAGCAATTGAAGTCTTTTGGGTTTTTTGGCCATCTGCATATTTTAGCTTCTGTGAGCAGAATGCTGTACTCCAGTCCCTGGTTTTATGCTGTGAGCCTGCTTTTAGTCCTCTATCTCACATGAAAACATGTAACACTATTCTCAACAGAGGCCAAGTCCCTGCTGCCGCTTCTCTGTTACTGGGTTCATAGCCCAGCAACCCTATGGCATTTTCCCCATGTTGTATATGCAGTCTGTGCTGGTCTGTAAAAATATCCATCTCCTTTTTGACCTGAGCCTTGGCTTTTTGGTATTGTCCTTTAATCTATCATTAGCATTAGTGGATAATTTTATCAGAAAGGGGGTGGAAGCATGATATATTGTGAACACATCTCTCACCATTTCTTAACGTCACAGGCCTGTAGGGTGGATAAAACCCTACAAAGAAGGAGAAATTGTTTGTGAGCAGTAAGGTCTATACAGATGTTATTTAGTCATAATAAGCACAAATACTCAAGGAAGCAGGAAGACAGTTTATTAAAATATACTGGTTTCTCCCTTTCACACCTGATTTAAGAACCACGGAGGAGATCCTAGAGGAAGGGGTACCCTGGCACTGAGAGGCTGCCTAAGGGAAAGCCTGATGGAGAATCATCAGAGTTCACCTAGTATCAGATATTTTTAAAGCTCTTTACAAATAATACCTCATTTAATTCATTATTATTCTTCCCATTTTACAGATTATACAGAATAGTTAAGCTATTTGCTCAGGATGCCCTAGCTAATAAGAATCAGATTGCTGGAATGTGGCGTCCTAGCTCATACAAGAAGTTGCTTCTGCAGCAAGAAGGAGTAGGCCTTAGGTAATCATGGGTGGGGAATTAAACACTGTATTTTCTTTTCAAAGAGCCCTTTCAATTGGCCCCTTCTCTTAAAATATCCCTGGGTGCTTGAGAAGCAAGCAGAATCAGCTTACTTGGCAAACTTTTGTTATCAGCGAAGAAGGTAAGTTTGATGGTAATTCTATAGTGATGGGGATCAAAAGAGTTTCCTTTGTTTTTAATAATTGCTAATTTACCCTAGTACAGATAACTGAGTCAACCATTCTCATTTGCTCGAACTCCTTTAAAACATCCTATGAGCTGTTTTTGAATGAAAAAGAGAATACTGAAAAGTAAACCATTCTCTTTCCTACTTAAAGAGCTGAAGCCTAGAGTATAGTCGGGGAAAATGAAAACTGTGAAATCACACGACGGTTTGAACAGCCACTCCAATTAAAAAGCACCCTGGGATGGGTGCAGATCTGGTCAGCATGCACGGCGGACATAAGAGCTCTGCTGGGAGTGCCTATAGAGTCATTTTGGCAAGGCCTCCTCCCACAGCCAACTGATCAATAGGCATTTCTCACCTTTTTCAAAGTACGGCGGGAACTGAAGACACTGAAAAACAGCATCCTCCTCAACAAGACCACATTAACCCAAACCGCAGCACTACAGGTGCCAGCTCCAAGGAAGGAGGCCCTCCTGAGGGGACATCAGTGATGAGCAGTGTGATGGAGAGGTTTATTGCCTCAGCCACAATCTAGAGGTGCACTTCAGGGGCCTGTCGGCCCAGCCATTGTCTCTGTTTTTCAGAGATCCTTTATGTGGCTCAGTGGGTCATCAGACACATCTCATGCCCAGGTATAAACAAAAGGAGCAGAAGTATAAGGGAGGAAGAGACTTTACAAAGTGCCCAGCATTACATCAAAGCTCAGTCCTCCGGTAGAGGGCTAAATCAAATGCTTTCGAGTAAAGCTAATATGTGAAACCTTCATTTAACAAAAGTGCAAAATTGAAAGAAAAAAGCTAGAAAAGAATCAAAAGTTAAACACAGAGAGTAGAGGGAGGAATAATGAGGGGGCATACGCCACTCAAAAGTAGTGGCTGTCAATATAAGACATGACTTAGTAGCTCCCTCTTTTTTTTTTTTTTTTTCTGAGCTAGCTGAGATTTTATTTTGGACCAAAAAAAAAAAAAGCAATTGAATTGTTTTGCAACTGGCGGCATGGGCAAGGGGGGTCCCCAGGCAGTAAACTCCCCGCCGGTGGGCTGAGGGCTAGGGCTGAGCGTCAGGTGGGTCTCCTGTTCCCTGCGCTCCCCTGCACAGCAACCTCCCTCCTGGGCTCTGGGGCAGCCTCAGGAGGGGCAGGCTGGGAGGGGCTGTTGCAGCTGTTCACTTGGGCAGGATGTCAGAGGACTCGGACACCAGCCTCCCATCGCGGATCTCAATCTTCTTCACACCCACAGCCTTGGTGGAGCTGGTGCGGCTGATGGAGCTGGAGCCCGTGACAGAGCCAAAGCTGGAGCCCAGGCCGTAGCTGAGGCCAGGGCTTGTGAGGCCCCCATAGGCAGAGCTCAGACCACCTGCATAGCCGCTGGTGGTCTTCGTGTGGATACTCATGTTCTGCATCCCGGACTCCAGCCGGCTCTCCTCGCCCTCCAGTAGCTTGCGGTAGGTGGAGATCTCGATGTCCAGGGCCAGTTTGACATTCATCAGCTCCTGGTACTCACGCAGCTGCTTTGCCATGTCCTGCTTGGCCCGCTGCAGGGCGGACTCCAGCTCCTGCTGCTTGGTATGAGCATCCTTGCGTGCCTGCTCCCCGCAATGCTTAGCATCGCTAATGGCGGCCTCCAGGGAAGCCATCTGGCCTTTGAGGCCCTCGATCTCAGCCTGGAGCTGGCTGATGTTCCGGTTCATCTCGGAGATCTCAGTCCTCGTACGCCGCAGGTCATCCCCGTGCTTCCCAGCCAGCATCTGCAACTCCTCATACTTGATCTGGTATATGCTCTCCGCCTCAGCCCGGCTGCGGTTGGCGATCTCCTCGTACTGCGCCTTGACCTTGGCAATGATGCTGTCCATGTCCAGAGAGCGGCTGTTGTCCATGGACAGCACCACAGACGTGTCGGAGATCTGGGACTGCAACTCCTAGATCTCCTCTTCATACAGCTGCCTCCCTCTTAAGAAGAGATTAAACTTTGCCTCCTCTCAAACCATGGAGAGAATGACATTCCCCTACCTCCATTCTCTGTCCTGTTCTTTTCTCCTCCTCATTCCACATCATTTCTAAGCTACAAGTCCCCCACATTTCCACCTGCAACACATTCAAGCACCACATTTTTTAAAGGGTAGTAACCTTCACATTCACTTACTAAGTGCTTGAAGTATCCCAACACCAACCAACCAACATAAAAAATACTAACGCCATGTAAGATGTTGGTGGGAAGAGAGGGTAGTCTGTATTTACAACAGTTCCTAGACAAGTGGGGCTAAGTAAATATTTACCAAATTCACTTTAATTTGTTTGCTCTCTCATACACATACCCCCACAATGCCCACTTGGCCGGAATAATGTTTTGAATTACTGATCTGCTACTACTTTTTCTTCCTGTACTTTTCTCTTTGTTCTCTCCTGAATTCAAGCAGGCAACTAGACTGTGCCCTTTACTAGAGATAAATATGGAACAAAAAGGAAAGTAGCTTACAATTTTTCTATTATCTTCCAAAGCCTGATCTCGGGAGTTTTATAGAGGGGATTAAAAGTAGAGGATCCCCAAACATTGACAGTGTTTCTGACAGTCAGAAATGTAAAAAAGAAAAAGATTTCCTCCCTGGGGTTAAAAACACAACGGATTTCTTCCAGGTGAAGAAAAGAGAGACAGAGAGAGGGAAATGAAGAAAGAGAGAAAATTCTGTGGGTCTACAAAATATGGAGGGCCAACAACTAAAACCAACAGGTTAGGCAGCAAAGCCCCCGAGAAGTAAGAACCATGTACAGTAGGGAGGCAGACAGGAACATAGAGAGACTTGCTGAAGATCATGGAGGCTCATCTAAGGCTCCGGACTGACAAGCCCTGTAAACAAGGATGATAAATATCTCATTGACAAGCAAGGTAAGAAAAGGCTGCGGATCCTGGAGGCTCACTCCTTCCTACCCTCTGTGATGTGGCTGGAACTATGGCAGACACTGGAGGACTCTCTCTGTCTCTCTACTTTGAAGTGAACTCCTGCTCTCCTTCTTCTTGGATAAGACACTTTGTCTATATCTGCAAATCCTCTCTGCACTCCAGGATTAAATCTTGAGGAACTAAGTGAAAGGAAATGTTAGGCATGTGACTTTCTGCTGATTGTTCTGCTACATCCATCCCCTGAGACTGTAAACACAAAAGAGCATATTATCCATTTGACACCTTGGAAAGAAAAATGGAAAATATAAGAAGAATAAAAGATAAATATCTCCTGTGTTATCTCAGCCATATTCTTTTCTAAATAAATATCTTACGTCTTTCCACATCAAATGTGCTTTTCCTAAATGTTACTCCTGCCAGCTCCAGTAATCTAAGCCTCTGCTTCCTGCATCCTCAGTATCTGGGGTAGGGGAATATCTGCTCCAGGCTCCCTAAGATCAGGTAGGTGAGTCTAATGTAGCACACTTCTCTCCTTTCGAGAATGTGTATGCATATGTGTGTGTGTGTGTGTGTGTGTGTGTGTGTTGGGGATGGAGAGGGGACCCTGTGACCCCTACTCTGGAGATTCTTCTCCCTGCCAGTACTGATTCCATACAACAGAGAGTTCAGTCACAGGTAATGGAGGCCAAGATCCTGACTGCATATTCCTCTCATGGATAAATTAAGCACTGAGCAGCTATCTTTGGCAAAAGCCTGTTCAGATTGGTCAGAGACGGGGAGCTGATTCCCGAACTCAAGTATCTTCTTTACCACTGGGGCCATCTTCCCCTCTACTTTTGCCTCTATGATGTGGTAGAGTGGTAATAAATAAATGAAGAAAATCTTCCCCTATCTAACCTCACCACCCTACTAAAAATGCTGGAGGTCTCTGTAGGAAGTAATCCCCTTAGGTTCATTTGGAATCTCACCGGGTGTCAGAGGAGGAAATTCCTGACTAATTCAGATTCCTTCAAAGTCCAAAATATACCCATTTCTTCAATGCCTGCCTTAATAGAAAAATTATCCATCTTCTCCAGTGTCTCTTATAACAAATCTCATGCAATTAAATGTATGATTAACATTAAATTCACCCACTATTAAGTTCAAAAGACATCAGAATCATAAATATGCTATCTAGAGTGTTTAGTTGTCATTAATCTTTATGATTATAAAGGAAAAATATTCTTAAGTGATATTTTAGACTCAGACTGCCAGATAGTTTCAAACTAGTGCTTTAAAGTCAAAAAAGTCTGATTTAGAGCTAAAGCTGAAAAGGCGGAAAAAAGAAAAAGGAAAATCTTCCTCAGACATTCCCCAACCTTCTCTCCCCAAGCTTCTACTTTAATTGCAAACACTGCTGTGAGAACTATCAATTTTAAACTTTCTTTCTCAACCAAAAACACTTTTAAGCCAAAGTAAAGTTAACTCAAGGGAGGGGGGGAAAGGTTAAAAACATTCCTTCTAATATTAAGAGTCGTGTTGAGGACATACTTTCAAAACAACTCCTACCCAAATTCACTTGTCTCAACCAACAGAAAAAAAAATAACGTTTGATTCTGAAGTGCTACAAGCAAAATGCACTTCCTCTCATGTTTCTTGTTTGTATGTGTGCACACATACCCTGCCTTATACCAGCACAAATGTGGAGACGTTCCACAAAAATTTATTCAGTTCAAGTCCACAAAATGTAGTAAAACCAAATTCCAAAATAGGAATAAATTGAGGGGAAAAGAAACATGAAAGTAAGAAATATAAGATGGATCCATGAATGAGATTAGCCTTAAAAGAAAAAAAGGCATATCAAAAGCCTGTTCATTTGTAAAAAATAAGCCAAACATTGGGAATTATAAAAGTCACACCAAATGGGAAAGCATGAACAATTACTGTACATGTTTCTCAGTGTTCAGAAGATGAAATGCACCAATTCCACAGAAGAACAAAAAAGATACTTTCATGTAGAGCTGAGAGATAGTAAATTGTGTGAGATAGTAAACAGCACCGTTAACAGCAGCCTAAGAATAGACTTGGCAATGTGTCGCATAGGACTATTTCCTTTAACACCTTCAATGTAGTCCAGTGATGTAATATCAAAGTGTAACTTAGCAAAAGCATTCCTACAGGGGCGACCAGAAACAGAATGAGGTTCCTGGCTCTCTGCTTACCTGGTATGAGCCAGTGACTGATTTTTGGAATAAACAGTAAATTGTTTGGCCAAACCTGCATATATACTCTTCCTCTCAACCAAGTTTTCACTAGGTATTGAGCAACGGTGAGCTCAGATAATGCCTCTTTCAAGTACCCATATTGTTATTTTTCTATGTTACAGGCTAAATACAGCTCCTTCTGCTTTAACAGCCAGTCTCCTAATGGAATTGAGGTGCTTAAAGCAGACTTGACCCGAAGGCAATGCCACATCTGCACAGATGCTGCCAAAGGAGTAGCTAAGTGACCTCTGTTTCAACCAGGAGTATTGGAGCCTCTAATGATATCATAACTAAATTATCCTACAGCAAAGTTGAACTATCATCTTTATTTATAAGTTTGAAGAAAACAAAATCCTTTTAGAAATATAAACATATATAAAAAGGAGGAGGAAGGGGGAAGATGGCACTATAGGAGCAACTCAGGATTGCAGCTCTCAGTGAAAGCACAGAGGGTGAGTGTACACTGCATTTACAGATGGATCTTTATTTCCCACAGACCAGGAAATTCCCAGCTGTAGGAGTCCCACGGGATACCAGCACAGCTGTTTCAGCTGGCGCGGCCATTTTGGCTGGAGCCGCAGCGCAGTGGCACTCCGTGCAAAATACACTGGTCTGGTTGCCCTGTTAAACCAGCAATTTGAGATTTGGGAAGGCAATTTAGCACATTTGTCTGATTAAACGGGACTTAAACAGTAAGCCAGGACATGAGATTCCTGGGCAGTGATGTTTGAGCCGGCGCAGTGGGTCACTGCATGGGAAATCAAACAGACCCTGGTGCCCTTTCAGCAGGCGACGAAAACACCTGGGAGAGAGTCAACCATTCAACTTAAAAAAAAAACAAAAGGGCTCTGGGGCAGGGAGCCAGTGGATCAGGCTTGGCGGGTCCCACCCCCACAAAAACAAAGAAGACAGCCATTGGAAACGCTTGGGGTTGAGAGTTTCACAGCAAGCACAGCTGAACCCAGGACAGTGCAGCTCGGTGGGGGAGGGGCGTCTGCCATTACCGAGGCATTCTGCCCCTATGGAGGTACTCTCCAATTGCTGACATAGCCTGCCATTGGTGAGGCAACCCGCCATAACAGAGAGAGTATGCCAATACAGAGGTGGGCAACAATCACCATGCTAGTTCCAACCACACCCATAGAAACAGGACTACAAGGAAATACACTTGGCAGCAGGGCAGAGCCCATGGCAACAGGGCAGAGCCATAGCAGCAGGGCGAAGCCCATGGCAGAAGGGCAGAGCCTCAGCAGGTAGGTAGTGACTAGACTGCCTCTTGCTGGGCAGGACAGTGCAATGAATACTCATAAATAAAGCCCTAACCCCCCGAGACAGAGCACCTGAGGAAAAAAAAGGGGCTTTATGAGGACTTAAACATACCTGCCTAGCAGCGCTGAATGAACAACGGAGCTCACAGCTCAGCACTTGAGCTCCTATAAAGTACAGACCGTCTCCTCAAGCAGCTCCCTGACCCCTGTATATCCAAAGAGTCACCTCAAAAAGGACTGATCAGACTGACATTTGGCGGGCATCATTCTGGGACAAAGATAGCAGAAGAAGAAACTGGTAGCATCCCTCACTGTTCCGCAGCTGCTACAGGTATACCCCAGGCAAGCAATGCCTGGAGTGGACCTCAGCAGTCCTACAGCAGAGGGGCTAGACTGTTAGAAGAAAAACTAAGAAACAGAAATAATTCATCATCAACAATCTGGGTGTCCACTCAGAGACCCAATTGAAAAGTCAGCAACTACTCAGACGACAGGAGGATAAATCCACAAAGATGGGACGAAACCAGCACAAAAAAGGAGGAAAACACCCGAAACTGAAACACCTCGCCTCCTACAAAGGACCACAATCCCTCACAAGCAAGGAACAAAGCTGGACAAAGAATGAGTGTGATGAAAGGTCAGAATCAGACTTCAGAAGGTGGGTAAACTTGTGTGAGCTAAAAGAACATGCCCTAACTCAATGTAAAGAAATTAAGAACCTTGAAAAAATATTTGAGGAAATGATAACAAGAATGGACAATGTAGAGAGAAATGAGAGTGAATTGATGGAGCTAAAAATCACAACAAGAGAACTTGGTGAAGCGTGCACAAGTCTCAACAGCGGAATTAACCAAGCAGAAGAAAGGATATCAGAGGTCGAAGATCAACTCAATGAAATAAAATGAGAAGCCAAGATTAGAGAAAAAAGTGCAAAAAAGAATGAACAAAGTCTACAAGAAATGTGGGACTATGTGAAGAGACTTAATCTACATTTGATAGGTGTACCTGAATGTGATGAAGAGAATGAAGCCAAGCTGGAAAATACTCTTCAGGATATTATCCAGGAAAATTTCCCCAACCTAGCAAGGCAGGCCATATTCAAGTCCAGGAAATACAGAGAACACCACAAAGATATTCTGCATGAACAGCAAACCCAAGGCACATAATCAACAGATTCACCAGGGTTGAAATGAGGAGAAAATGCTAAGGGCAGCCAGAGAGAAAGGTCGAGTCACCCACAAAGGGAAGCCCATCAGACTCACAGCAGATCTCTTGGCAGAAATCCTACAAGCCAGAAGAGAGTGGGGGCCAATATTCAACATCCTTAAAGAAGAAACTTTCAACCCAGAATTTCATATCCAGCCTAACTGAGCTTCATAAGTGAAGGAAAAATAAAATCCTTTGCAAACAAGCAAGTACTCAGAGATTTTGTCACCACCAGGCCTGCTTTACAAGAGCTCCTGAAAGAGGCACTACACATAGAAAGGAATAACCAGTACCAGGCATTCCAAAAACATACCAAATGCGAAAAAGCATAAACAAAATGAAGAATCTGCATCAACTAATGGGCAAAACAGCCAGCTAGCATCAAAATGGCAGTATCAAATTCACACATAACAATATTAACCCTAAATGTAAATGGGCTAAATGCATCAATCAAAAGACATAGACTGGCAAATTGGATAAAAAACTAAAACCCATCAGTGTGCTCTATCCAGGAAACCCATCACACATGCAAACATACATAAAGGCTCAAAATAAAGGGATGGAGTAAGATTTACCAAGCAAATGGAGAGCAAAAAAAGCAGGAGTTGCAATTCTCGTCTCTGATAAAATAGACTTTAAAGCAACAAAGATCAAAAGAGACAAAGAAGGACATTACATAATGGTAAAAGGATCGATACAACAAGAAGAGCTAATGATCCTAAATATATATGGACCCAATACAGGAGCACCCAGATACATAAGGCAAGTTCTTAAAGACTTACAAAGAGACTTAGACTCCCACACAATAATAGTGGGAGACTTTAACACTCCACGGTCAATATTAGACAGATCGACCAGACAAAAAATTAACAAGGATATTCAGGACTTGAACTCAGACCTGGAATGAGCAAATCTGATAGACATTTACAGAACTCTCCACCCCAAATCCACAGAATATACATTCTTCTCAGCACCACATCACACCTACTCTAAAATTGACAACATAATTGGAAGTAAATCACTCTTCAGCAAATGCAAAACAACTGAAATCATAAGAAACAGTCTCTCAGACCACAGTGCAATCAAGTTAGAACTCAGAATTCAGAACCTAAGTCAGAACCACACAGCTTCATGGAAACTGAACAACTAGCTCTTGAATGTTGACTGGATAAACAATGAAATGAAGGTAGAAATAAAGTAGTTCTTCGAAACTTATGAGAAAAAAGACACAACATACCAGAATCTCTGGGACACATTTAAAGCAGTCTCTAGAGGAAAATATATAGCAATAAGTGCCCACATGAGAAGAGTGGAGAGTTCCAAAATTGACACCCTATCATCAAAATTGAAAGAGCTAGAGGAGCAAGATCAAAAAAACTCAAAACCTAGCAGAAGACAAGAAATAACTAAGATCAGAGCAAAACTGAAGGAGATAGAGACACGAAAAACCCTTCAAATAATCAATAAATCCAAGAGCTGGTTTTTTGAAAAGATCGACAAAATAGACAGACCACTAGCCAGACTGATCAAAAAGATAAGAGAAAATAACCAAATAACACAATAAAAAACGATATAGGGGAAATTACCAAAAATTGCACAGAAATTCAAACCATCATCAGAGAATATTACAAACAACTCTATGCACATAAACTAGTAAACCTGGAAGAAATGGATAAATTCCTGGACTCCTGTGTCCTCCCAAGCCTAAACCAGGAGGAAGCTGAAACTATGAATAGACCAATAACAAGGTCAGAAGTCAAGGCAGCAATTAAGAGCCTACCACACAAAAAAAAAGCCCAGGTCAAGACAGGTTCACAGCCGAATTCTACCAGACACACAAAGAGGAGCTGGTACCATTCCTTCTGAAACTATTCCAAATAATTCAAAAAGAGGGAATCCTTCCCAAATCATTTTGTGAGACCAACATCATCCTGATACCAAAACCCGGCAGAGACTCAACAAGAAAAGAAAACTTCAGGCCAATATCCATGATGAACATAGACGCAAAAATCTTCAATAAAATACTGGCAGGCATTTTGCAACAGCACATCAACAAGCTTATCCACCATGATCAAGTAGGATTCATCCCAGGGATGCAAGGCTGGTTCAACATACGCAACTCTATAAACGTAATTCACCACATAAACAAAAACAAAAACAAAAACCACATGATTATCTCAATTGATGCAGAGAAGGCCTTTGACAAAATTCAACAGCCCTTTATGCTAAAAACCCTCAACAAACTCAGTTTTGATGGAATGTATCTCAAAATAATAAAAGCTCTTTATGACAAACCAACAGCCAATATCATACTGAATGGGCAAAAACTGGAAGCATTCCCTTTGAAATCTGGCACTAGACAAGGATGCCCTCTCTCACCACTCCTATTCAATATAGTACTGGAAGTCCTAGCCAGAGCAATCAGGCAAGAAAAAGAAATAAAGGGTATTCAAATAGGAAAGGGGGAAACCAAATTATCTCTATTTGCAGATGACATGATAGTATACCTAGAAGACCCCATTGCCTCAGCCCAAAAACTCCTGAAACTGATAAGCAACTTCAGCAAAGTCTCAGGATATAAATTCAACGTGCAAAAATCACAAGCATTCCTATACACCAATAACAGACTTAAAAAGAGTCAAATCAAGAACGAACTGCCATTCACAATTGCTACAAAAAGAATAAAATACCTAGGAATACAACTCACAAGGAACGTAAGGGACCTCTTCAAGGAAAACTACAAATCACTGCTCAACAAAATCAGAGAGGACACAAACAGATGGAGAAACATTCCATGTTCATGGTTAGGAAGAATTATTATCGTGAAAATGGCTATACTGCCCAAAGTAATTTACAGAATCAGCGCTATCCCCATTAAGCTATCATTGACTTTCTTCACAGAACTGGAAAAAACCACCATGAACTTCATATGGAACCAAAAGAGAGCCTGCATAGCCAAGTCAATTCTAAGCAAAAAGAACACATCAGGAGGCATCACACTACCGGACTTCAAACTATACTACAAGGCTACAGTAATCAAAACAGCATGGTACTGGTACCAAAACAGAGATATAGACCAATGGAACAGTA